GCGGACGGACTTGTGTTTTCATTTCAAGACGTACATTTATCAGGTTTAACTTCCTAACTGTAACAATAACTGAACTTTACCCCTTATATACACATTTGTGATGGGGCGACAATGCGACAACGAGACATATTTTGACCTTGAAAATGTCGCGTTACGGCATCGTCGCCCTTTTGTAAAATAAAGAAAAGGATTATCAAAGAGCGACAATGCGAACACGCGACAATGCGACAAATTGTCGCGCTTTTGTTAATTTTGACACGTTTTGCTTGTTTTTGTAAAGGCGTCAATGCGACAATACGACAACGAGACAATGTCCCTTCCATAGTAATCCGTGCAAATAAAACTGAGTAATGAAATAGAAGTCTGACATGCCAGTTAAAAGATAGAGTGTTGCAGCTTCTGATTTCATAGATCTTCAAGAAGGGTTATCAATAATGGGATGGGTGATGAGTTCAACTGCATACGCTGTGATTAACAATAATGCTCCGAGTCAATACATTTTGTCAAATGTATGACATGTATTACGTGAATGAACATATTGTTTATACTCGTCCATGTTTTTGACGGACAAAATAATTTACATGCTCGGTAAAACTGAGGACAGGCATCATTGTTTGTTTCCGTTCTTTGTTCAGGTGAACAATTGACTTGTCCATGCATGTTTTGTGACGGGTGCCACTTGTGTGGCAGGATACGCTCACCTTTTCCCGAACACCCATGGGAGGACTTGAACCACTTCGGATTTTTATCCCACATCAGTCTGATACACCATGACATAACTGAAATACTGAAATACTGTACAGTTGAAAATGATGTTTAATGCGATTACCGTAGTGTGTTACTGCAACTGTTCATATTTTGTGCAGTGATGTTATGTAATATGTAAAAGAAAGCATATTCAATTATCCAATTGATTTGAATAGAATATACTTGCGTCAGTGTATTTTATTAACGCCCCAAATCGTAATTTAAACACATAAAATAACAGATCACGCATGGTGCCTTGACTTACTACTAGATTTAATGGGCCACCCCGGAATAAAATAGTTCCCCCAAAGCGAGGAACATAAATTTTAGTATGTTTACAAGAAATATATTCCAAACAATATCCTCATTAGATGAGAAGATCTTTTACAGAATTACCTCAGTAAGTCAATGACAATGACATAGCGTCGTAATACATTTACATCAAGTACAATACGTCAAAATGGCCGACACGATAAACGTGACGGGAGATATTTTCGAAGTTGTTAATTAACCTGTGGCTATTTCAAGCCTTTGGCATCACTGATCAATTGGCCGATCATTGAAAGGTGATTGTGAAGATGTGTCAAATAGATACTAAGGTAAATTCATAGATTTCTGTCAATTGTCACTGCGACAGTTTGGATTTTTTTTCGTGTTTTTTCTCTCTGGGATGGGTTGCAGCGAGGGTATCCTTAAATGGGCTTGCAACCACGCTTCTGTATGAATTCGTACCAGGGAATTCCAACGGTTTTCCCCAGGAATGTGGAAGTAGTCAGTGTTTACGCCTTTTCAAGAATACCATCACGTGAAGAACGTCATGTGACCGACCTCGCGTCAAAGTCGTATATCTTGTAAACTTCACATTTAAAAATTAGTTATTGTTATAACCAAATGAAACACAACCCATTATCCGTTAGGGGTAACTGTACATAGCCGTTACCACAATAAACTTAGTAACATTGTTTGGTTTGACTTCTTGGCGCGTGTCTGAATTCCATTAACATGTAACATATCCTAAAACTAGCTTATCAGCAAATCTCGCTGCACTGCGCGCGACAGATACTAGAGCAAGGCATGCCAGAAATACGAAACCTAAAGCTTCCGAAAGGAAGCCTTGGACATCACGTGCGTCGGGGGACCAGCGCCATCTGATTGGCCGTTAACAGTTGTACAAGGCGGAGCAAAAAGCATCGTTTTTCCGTCCATTTTACGCTTGAAAAACTCGACCCTTTTCTGGACACTTTCTAGACGCTGACCAATTAATCAATTTTAATGAATTTTTAGTCGTTTTTCCGTCCAATGACCATATACGGAAAAAAACGACGTTTTCGTGTTTGCAGTGTTAAAGGAGCTCAGTCAAATCATGTTGGTTATGCTCATTTCTCTATATGTATCGCCTTTGCCACTGAATATGTCACATAGCAAATAAATATATTTTCAATTAATTTAACAAAACGCTTTGATGTCACGTTAACATAATTGAAACATTGCAGTTGAAATATTGTTATCAGTGTCAGATTTCTGGGACATTAACCTGTTTCCATTATATGGTGCGAAGCAGACTTTGTTGTTGAAGCTGAATGAGGAAACCTGATGAGCCAGGTTTTGTTTTAGTTTTTAACATACAGTCGTATAAAGTCAGGTATTGTCATCACTTAACCAGATGCCAGTACTGCAATACTATGATAAATAATTCACCCTAATTCAGGAGGTGAGGTGATGTGAACTGGTCGCAATAGTATTGCCCTTATTCAGCGACGTGCCATCGAGAGTGTGTGTGTGCGTGTGAGAGCGTGTGTGCGTGTTTAAGTATGTGCGTGTGTGCGTGAAGAGTGTGTATGTGTATACTTGTTTGTACAAGTCATAACTGCAGACCGTCACTGACAACCAACTGAGATACACTGCCTCGTGTTAACATGGATTCCCCACCAAGAAACAGTATCCTGCCTCTGGGCTACCAACAAGGACTGGTTTTATCGTTAAATGCCGAGCACCAAGAAGGGTAACAACAAGTTCCTTCTTTTAACGTATTTTGGTATGACGCGACAAGGGATCGAACCACAGACCTTCCACTCTCTTGGCAGACCTTCTGACCACTAGATCACAGAGGAAGAACAAAAAAAAAAACACGAATATCACACAAGTGACAATGCATACCACAACTCTCACTGTGATGTTTAAATTGCTATAAACTGCCTCTTTATCAGTCGATGTGGTTACAGGGCACATTGCTAAAACTCTGGTTTGCGTTGGAAACATTGGGATGTTATAATCAGTAGGTGGGATATAACATTTGGATAGATTTGTTCCCAAGTCAGACGAACGACAAATTTAACAACAATAACATGCACAGTGGGGCCATTCGCTTTGTGAATATAAAGATGGAATCAGTGATGAGTGGTTTCTTAAAAGGCTCGGATGAGGATGACTGAGAAGAGGACGATGATTTAGAGGATTCTAAAGGTGACTTTATATTGGTTGCCCCATTGCCAAATAATCGTGGCTGTAGTTTTGTGTTTGTGATGACAGACGTGTTTTCCAGTTATCTTCAGCTGAAACATCCGAGGAGGGAAAAAAACGAATATAACTTCATTGATTTCAGAAATATGATATTGATTATAAAATAAACAAGTGTTATTTTCCTAATTTTCCGAGATTATGAATACTGAAAAACTATTTTGAATTAAGCTAACATGTGAACAATATTGCTTCTGTAAATTTACAATATTTGCCACAAACCAAGGCGATAGTTCTAATGCACACACTGCATGTCAGTTTATAGAAATCAATCATTCCGATTTGTGACTTATGCTAACCATGACTTTGAAGAAAGATATGTAACACACTTTGTAATGTGTTCAGTGGGTCCACGTGTTGGGTAACTCCATATACTCGAGTAACCTCTTAAGGTACTCGTCTGTAACACACACAGACACCTACAATCAATACGTATACCTGTGTACAAGCACCAATATCTGCTAGTTTGTTGCGTGGTCGCCCAGGTCGTTTGAGTCACTATGCAATGAATATTCAGAAATTCTGAATGAATACAAACTGAGAACTATTTGATGTCTACACAGACCCATAGGATCAGTAGGTCCACACTATTACCAAGTGACAATATCTGCTTTGTATAACACGGGACCCTGAGGGACATACATCATACCGTGAATGTATAGATATTCTGAAATAATACACCCTAAGAACTATATTATGTCTACATTAGCCTGTTCATGCAAGCCGGGTGTATATATAGATTGTAGTTCAACGCCAGTATCTATTTCCTACACACGACCTAGTTTCACACACTGCCGAATTAAGAACTATATTAAGTCTACATTAGCCTGTTCATGCAAGCCGGGTGTATATATAGACTGTAGTTCAACGCCAGTAGGCATTACCTACACCCGACCTAGTTTCACACACTGCCGACATGGCCATGCTGTACACCCCCGTCTCATCCACACAGTTAGAGCTCTCTTGGTGGACATATGTCACAAACACGAGGGTAGGTACACTATCTGACTGCTTGTGCTTTGTATGTGTTAATGTTATTGCATCAGAGGAAAGTAAATGAATTGTACACAATCAGTTCCCACACATGCAGTTACTGAAAATAAAACCAGGAAGTAGATTGCACATATATGTCAGCCACGCCTGTAGTTATATGCATCTACCTCCGCATGTTGATGATAAAGAGTGTGGTATATACATGTGGTTTAATAGTTATGAACATAAAGAATAAAAAAAAATACAACAATGACAATGCTGTTACGTAGAAAGGGTTAGTTTTGTCAGGTCCAAACGTCTTGCTTTATTTATCAAAATGAAACGGATAGCAAGATTTGTTTATAATTATACAGAATGAGCTCGTGGAAAAATAATGAGGGTGAACTGGTAATCAAACCAACGATCATATGTTTCTTGCACGGCAAAGGGACGCAACTCTGCAAAGCGAATTGGTGTATCGTAGACAACTGAACCACATGTTGCTCCGAATCTTGCATGAATGAGACGTCAGAAGAAATAAAAGCAGTTAATCAGTCAGATAAGTGGAAAAGCGGAGTGCAAATATTTTTGCATATAATAGTCCTTTATTGCCATTCTGATTTTGTTCGCAAGTCTTCAAGTAGCTTACAAGCATAACGATTATGCCAATATCATGGAACATCGGGTTAGATATCGTTCTGTGAACCTCTATGAACCTCTATCTCAAAACATATTTACTACTCTTTAACTTACTGCCCAGTACTATCAGCTGACGTCATCATGTGGAGGTTCTCTGAAGGCAGGCCGAAGCTGTACACTGATGTGTTACACAGGAGTAGCTTCACATACAACTATAGGGTGGCAAAAAGGCACTACATCATACAGAGTAAGTCAGGGTAGCTGCAGCTCTCCATATTTCCCGGCTGACTACACCACCTCCTGCCCCAGCTCCACCAACTACACCCTCACCATCAACAACGCCATGAACGGCAGAGACACACCATCAACTACCAGCTGACAGGCACCAGTAGGAACTCCCTGTACTACTGCCAGGCATCCGACACACAGACTACCGTCAACTCTACCATCACTAGGACCACTACATCTGTCTCCTGTGTCGCTGTCTCCAACCCACCGCCGTCCATGACTTTGTACACAGACGGGACCAGTGTGGCCACCAGCCCAGCAGCAGTAGAGGGAGACACTGGCTGGACAGCCACCATCAACTACCAGCTGACAGGCACCAGTAGGAACTCCCTGTACTACTGCAAGGCATCCAACACACAGGCTACCGTCAACTCTACCTATTCCTATCCTAACAGTAAGTAATATAACAATTATGTCCCCTACACGTCATACATACTGTAGAGAGTTACTTTTATGCCTTTGATATATTGATATTGGGTTGACAGATATATACATTAGTTATGATTAATTCACTTTCGGTGTAGTTGCTGTCAGCAGCGTGTCTCTCACAACCATCACATCCGCCAACCAGGAAGTGGGCGCTGCTGAGGGTCAACTCTTGACCTTGACCTGTGTCACCTCTTCCAGTTACCCTGCTGCTACCGTTCACTTGGTTCAAGAACAGAGTCCCGTTGGCAAGAGGGATATCCAGTGGTCACACATCCCAGTCAGGTGTCGTCCATACAACAAGTACCGTGACCATCATTCCTGTCAGGAGTGACCTGGGCCACACAGTCTACTGTAGAGCCACCAACATCCACACCCCCTCCCCAGTACAGTCTGACAGTGCCCGGGTGGGAGTGTGGTTTGAGTAGCTCTCTGATGTCACATATTCGTATATCACATTCATGTAATATCAGTCAATCAGTCAATAACTACTGTCATATTCATGCCATAGCTTAATTGTCTCACTGAGCGGATCCAGTTGTATGCAGTCAGGCAGTCATTTAGTCCAGAAATATTGCACTGAAGACAAAATATCATAGGTGAAAAAGTTAGTATTTTCGTCAGTTTGAAGCGAATCAATCCAATATTAAGGAGAGCAATTCCTTCATGCGACCGCATTACGATGAATAGTAATAGATGAAGACGTCCATGTGGGTTATAATCATACTGTATTGGATATGGCATATGGTCAAAGCAGTACTACAAATGCAGTAAGCCGTTCAGATAACACTGATTTCACAGGTAACTGTACTGTATTGCAGTCGGACCAGAGCAGGTTGATGTGGCAAAGCAAGACAACACTGTAGCTTTAGACCTGACCTTAAACAGTGCTGTCACCGCTTATCCCAACCTGACCTTCACCTGGGACTACATTGATGGAACACCTGTAGGTGGCACCACGGGGACTGTGACAGGATCTTCTACATGGTGGTCCCAAACCCTCACCTTCAGCCCAAATAAAGACAAGACAGCTGCGAGGTGTAGGGTAAGAAACACCAGAACATCAGCAACCCAGACTGGTTCTGCATCACTGGATGTCAAGTGTGAGTGTTCATTAGTGTGCCCAGTTTGTTAAGAGCAGTTCAGATTTACACTTGAAGCACATGTGAAGGTTGAAGATCATTGTAGACATAGGGGTGAGCAGAGTGATATTGTCATGTTCTCCACTGTTACATCCATGCTTTATTCATTCTTATTTACAATTTATATCACTGTTCTTGTTTCAGACCCACCCTCGGTCTATCCTTCCTTCTCAAAATGTAAAACTCTGATGTTTCAAGGAGACCCAGAGACTATCAGGTGCTCGGTGACAGGAGGGAATCCTGTAGCTACAATCACGTGGTCCTGTCTGGGCACTGGATCAGCATCGGTCAGTGACAGTGGTCAGACCAAGACATCTACTCTCTCCTTCACTGTCAGCAGGAGTCAGACCAGTCAACTGTGTCAGTGTCTGGGGGCGTGACAGTATAGAGGATACAACCTCAGATATGAGGAACTTCAATGTCATTTGTGAGTATCTCTAACTGTTTTATGGAGGGAGTGATAGGTACAAAGGTTAATTCCCCCTTACGAAATATGTATGGCGTTTTAAGCCTGTCTGAGCGCCTGAACGTTATGGTCATGCCACGAATTGACAGTATTAAAAAAAAATATAATGTCAATTACACCTGTTACGCCTGTCACACATTTGTCAAACAATTTGTAAAAATGATATAACACGAATCAGCCACTATAGACTGACGAAGGATTGGTATTGGTGAGGGTCCATTGACTTCACATCTTCAAGTTTACGATCGCCTGTCTGATAACAACCTTAAGATATATGTCAACAGGCTTCTTACTGCAAGTTATCCTTTCTCATTGTGGTGCAGTAGCTTAATGTTATAGTTTACATAGATATATATATTACTAGATATACATATGTCTTAGGATGCATTATCTTCAGTTCGGATTTTAGAAGCATCGATGTAAATGGCACCTTCATCAAGCACTTAGCACGGACAAAATACAAAACTCTGTGTTCAGTAAACATGCAATAGATCCTTATTTCATGAGGTCCGGTATTATATGCTGCAGGTCCCACAAACCCACAACCGCTCAATGCCGAAAATGACTTCACAGGTGTAATAGCAGGAAGCACAATAGGTACCTTCCTTCCTACCTTGCTGATTGAAGGACTAGCTCTGACTGTCCTCTATAGGAAGGGGTTCAGGTTTGGAAAAGTCTTGAAGGTATGTTGTTAAATATCATGTTACCTTAAAACAGTATCCCAAGTACAATGAAAAGGTGGTGTGGCAATATTTTTAGAAGAGATGTTCCATTAAAAGTGACGTCACTTGATAAACATGAATGATAAGCTTAGAAGTGAAAGTTACCCACGAATCTAAATAATTACTGACTCAAACTAAACGCGCACAGTTTTGGAATGTATATCGAATTAATGACAGCATAATATAAACTGTTGTGCACCAGTAACTGCTTCTATTCAGTACGTTTGTTATATTAGGTCATTAGCGTTTCACATGTCTTATTCTCCCTTTGCAATTTTTTCCACATACCCAAGTTGACATTTGTAATGTGTGTATGACAGAGTACACTATAATGAATTCTCTTTTTTCAGGAACTGCTTCACACAAAAGGTAGACAAAATGTATGAATAAAACATTTTCAAATAATTTCCTCTGTAATACAGTAAATATCATTTACAAAAATCATATATTAAAGATGTTTCTATTATAAATTGCAATAAACCGACCTCACTTCACTTTTGTAGAACCAGGAATCCCGAAACTGAAGAAATGGAAAACACAGGGTATTCATCCTTGGGTAGGTTGAAAACAGATGTTCAGATAGATTGTTTTGGTCACGAATATGCCTGTACCGACTCCAGCTGATAAACCGATATTATATGTTCATATTGATTTGTTACAGATTAAATCAACAGTCCAACTCAGTACTCAAGCATGGATAAAGAGGCGTCTGAATAGGAACATTACACACAGTTAAAGATTTGTGAGAACACAAACGGTATATTGATACTTTGACATTATATATACCATAGCAGTTCTCAGTCAGTAAACTCAGTGAAGGTACTGCAAGATCATCGGTGTGCTATTAAACGTTGTGTTACTTTTTAGACGGGCATATAACATTAGTGTTTGTTCTTTGGAAATGCGTTACAAGTAATATTTTCAGTCTAGGTAAAAGCAGAAACAAGTACATACGAAGACATGACTGAAGCTACCCCAAGTATCTTACGAGTCAATAGCGTATCGCCATATCAGAACAGCGGTGCTCAATCTCAAGGTAATTACAATTTAGAATATATATATATACATCTGAAAGGTGTGAACGCTCACATAACATTTTTTACACAAGAAGTAATTTAAGTTTTTAGAAAACACTATGTTTCCTCCTGTATCCTGATGTACAATTCCTTTACTCTATAATCGTTTGACTATTGACAATTTTTAAAATTATTTTCCGGATCTTTATTTTATTAACTATGTGGTGCGGTTTCAGATCCTGACTAAGTGAACAAGTAAACATGCAGTAAATGTGATACCATCACTGGACAGTACTACACAGTGTGTGAACTGGTATTTTTGTTTACCTCTCATGTAGCGTATATTTCATGTTCACATGTGACTGTTATCTTATAGTATTTTCCTCTGTTATTTAATATATTAACTGTGTTGCATTATATTAACATATAACAACAGACTGTTATATCCCTAACACCTGCATAGGCTTTAATTGGCTGATACAAACTTTCTGGTGCTAAATTTGATGCATTTTCTATGTCACTTTTTCCTACGTTTGTTTACAATGAGGGGATACCTCATCAGTACAGTAAACTTGTACCTTGTTTGTACAACAGATGAGCACCTGCGAGGCGATTTAACTATGAATGATCTAAAAAAGCAAAACATTTCAACTCCATATAGCATCCTACCTATAATATTGTAAAAGCTTGCATTTGGTCTATTATGTTTGAAATGCTGTCAGGTGAGCTAGCCTTCCCAAATTAACATCTTCAATCTCATACTTTCATATGACTACACCCTTACATTTGTGCTTGTCCAGCTTAGCCTCTGGTTGATCTACAGGGATAAATTTTCTTGAGTCATGAAGACTGATGCCGGCGATAATCAGTTTGCTTGTTACAAACATGTCTGCTAGCCCTGGTTTTGCTATTTCACTTTACATTTTTTAATCATCTGAGCGCAAAACTTGTTGTTTCGTCGATTTAAGATATTTATATGTCACAAGATGTGAACTGAAGACGACGACATAATGACGGAAGTTTTCCATTAGCTTTGTTCGTACAAATAATGTAGCGGTCTATATGTTAGTTTGGTTTTCTGGTATGGACGTCGGAAGTTACTGTATGTTCACATTATATGCGTGTTGTTGCCTTAATCATAATGACATATTGACTAGCTTAATGTTGTATATGATTACTTATTGCATTTTATTACAAATTGTACTTACTGGAGGTTATAACGAGGCACCTTCATTGTCTTCTTTGTATATATTGTTTGTATATAGGAAATAAACACATAACACATAAATAAATAGTGTTTAATTGATGTTTGCCATTCACTTTTGTAGTGAATACAAGCAGTGACTTCCTTTTCATTAAAGGGTATTGTACGATGCCGAGTATATCATAAGCATATGTGAATAAATCACAACGAAATAGCGATAATACAAGGTGTTTGAAAAAGGGTTTGAAGGAAATTAATTCACTTTTTTATTAGACCTTATTTCAAGTTTAGTATATCTATTGCTTCATCGGTTCATTGTGATGATAAATCGACTTTAAATATGTTGACTCTCTGCTGCACAGTTATACACTCCAGCGGACATCCTTTAATACATGCTGAATATCCGTTCACAACTTCAAACAAACTACTGTAAATTGCCGCACAAATCCACTTTGTTTCAAATGTCATTGTGACAATCCTTACTTGTGGGCATTCGTGATTTTCCAAGAATGATGTTTAACCCGAGTCCCAATACGAAAGGGTCTTCAGCGAGAAAACGCTTTTAATACCCAGGACACCAACAACCTTTAGTGATCTCACGTTTTTGTCAAGTTTTATCGCTTACATTATGTTCGTCATTGAACTGCTAACTTCATATACTGTTAACATATGTTAAACGAATGGCTATCAGAGGAGACATAATATTACAACTAATAATGGACCCCTTATCTATTCAGTCTCTTGAATGTCATATCGACTGTGATAGTGAACCTTTTGTTGCCCCTGTAGCTGTTCTGAACACGAACGAGACACCTGAATGTTCCTATTGAAAGCTATGGTCGGTGACACGGAACCGGTTTAATAGCGTGTTGTATTGATCTTAGCATATGCACCGACAAAGCAATGTGGAGACTATTCAACTTGTGGTGGCTAGTGTACGATCCAATAACACCCAGGGTTGTGAATAGTGAAAGTTGCCATGGCATTTGTTGGGCTGCCTCCTCACGTGTACAGTATGGTGGCTGAGTTTTGTCATCTCTAAGACAGGACTGTGGAGTTCTGGACTTTTCATACAGTCGCCATATTTCCAATGCTTTGCTGCATGAGAGGACAACATTTCGGGATGAGAGCACAGTGCACCGCAAGGCGCAACAACGCGACTGATCCACAGCATGAAATGTCATCAATGAACAAGGTGACCAGATTAAACAATGGCGGCTGTTCAGTGTCATCTCGTGTTGAAGTGGGTTCGATGGTTTTTCCACCATCCCATCCGCAACATTCTGAATAAAATTATTTTACCCTTGTAATTTGTTTCAATAGAAATTGGAGTTAGCAATGTCTTTTTCTTTAATTCATTATATTCATTTCCATTTTATTTCCTAATTCAGAACAATATAAAGCCGCATTTTTATCACATTCAGCCATTTCAGCCTTTGGACTTTTCCAGCGAGAGTTCAATGCTTGTTATGGGGAAATTATTTTATGAAAATTTAACCTGAAGAACATTGGGTTTGCTGACATGTTGAGGCAATGCATACATATTTAACTAGTATTACCTTCTCCGATGACTTCCCGTGTCTATCTACACTGGAACCTTGTCGATTCGACCTACATATTCTGTCGGCTACCCGGAAGTAAAATACCAGGTAAAAGGTTCTCTCAGATGACAACGCTGTGCATGTGTGAGTGTAGAACTGTCAATGTTGCAGCTACACAATGTTTACCTGTGGACGCCTCAATTACATTTCACTTCTGATTCTGGTGGACGTTGGACAGATTCCCCGTACAGGTAAACTGCTGATGTTGTTTACAAATGTTGGAACCATGGTACATTGAGGTTACTTCGAGGGCGTTTTCGGGTGGTAAATATCCTGTTATGAATAAATATTATTTTTAGCGAGCCTTGGTATTCCAGGGTGGCCCCGTCGTTCGGGTGTTGCGATTTTACCCTGCACTGGGTCCATGACACTAACGACGTCGCCTGCGACTGCGGTGTTTTGTGGCAGCTGCAGACAAGTTTACATTGAAAGTTTGTAAAAAACATGTCCCAAATAGAATGGAAATATGTCACAGAATGAGCATGCCCTGAAATGCTGACGTTGAAAATGATTGACATCGTGAGCATCAATCTACGCAATTGGGGCACGATGACATGCTTCAACCAAGTCAGCGAGCCTACCACTCGACCCCGTTAGTCGCATCTTACGACAAGCATAGTTGCCTATTACGGCAACCTGTTAACCTGCCCTTGGCCACCAAAGAAAACTCATGATCATGTGAGGTGAGGTGTGGTCAGTCAAATTCACTGTCATAAACAGACTCGCGTTTAGATTGTGATCAAATACTGGATATGGTATCAATGTGAGATTTCGAATTCTGATATGTAAATTATAAGGTTGAACTAGGGAAATTGCAATTATTTATTCATACAATAGTCCCCCCGTGAGCTACGCTCAAGTGAACTGCTAACATCCCTGCCTATGCATGTGGACTGATCAATCGTTTTGAAATGAGTACATGGCAGTTTCATGGTTTTATTCCACTGCTGATACTGATGGATAATGTCCCGATACGTCCTTGTAAGTCAGTGACATTGCTTGTCACTGGATTGTTTGTTTGTTTATTTGATGTTTAACGCCGCACTCAGCAATATTATAGTATATGACGGCGGTTGTCACTGGAGGTTACCAATAGCTTATGCGATGAGATCTAAACGTGACAGAAATCTTTGATTGTTAGTATGAATCTCAGATGCACCCTGAATATGTAATTAGGTTTTCAGCAACCTATGTGATGAGATCCTGAATCTCACCAAGGTGGAAAACACTGAAGACCTATATCACTTTCTCCCAAATAAATGAAACACTGTTCAACGCAGCGATACAATATAAACCACTCTCTGACTTACTAACAACATTTGAAACATGCAACCTACAAACATCTTGTTTCAGAGTCTGCTCCAGTTCTTGCCACCAACAGACGTGTTCCTGTGGAGGGTGTCAGTTTCAGCATTACCTGTACACTAGATGCGGCTGTCACTGCAACGGCTCTCTTCTATAAGGGTGATACTTCAAACCAGGGAGGCTGCACATCATCAGGCAGTTGTGGGACATCTGTCTCAGGATACTCTGTGAGCCTGGACACTACATCCAGGATCCTGACTCTTGACATCACAGCATCAGATTCTTCCAGAGACAGTGGGACATGGAGATGTATTGATGGTACCACCGTGTCAAATATGATCACACTGTCACAGTTTGCAGGTTGGTTACATTTGTTTGAACCATGTGTTGGTTAATGGCAACAATAAAACTGAGCACAAGAACTGATTTGTAAATAAATTCAATTAGAGAGTAGACATCGCGTCGTAACTTACAGGAAAGTTAAAGTTTCTGTGTCGGAAAGATAATGAACATATTTGTGAGAACAGCGAACATTTCTGTTTACCAACCTCCCCCAATCAGCCCAAATGTTTTGTATAAACCAGTCGGGGACATCGCACAAATCACTCATTACAAATCAGCTTTACAAACGTACAGCACAAATGAACAGAAAACAATATGATATATCTGGGGTACTGGTCACAACAGTGTTAAACTCAACTCACCCCCAGTCTCAGTTCTGGGCTGTGTGAACTTTAATGTAGTTTATAGATCTACACCAGAATTTTATTTGTATCATTTCTTCTTGCCAGCTGTCCTGGACTGGAGGTCTGTGACATTCTCTCCACAACTGACTTCTCTCCCGTCCTCCGTGACCCCAAAGAACAACATCTCCATCACAATGACCATCCCCTGTGCTGACCCTGCCACCGTCATCACATGGAGATACCAACAGGTAGGGGGTTGATGTATTAGATCAACTTGTGTGATTGATTCCATTAACATGATCACCTTGACATCACCCATGGCCCGTCCCTCCTCCATTTTCTCATCTCTGGATATTGAACCCATACTACGGCTTTGTACTTTATACTACTACTCTTCAGCCAACACACTCACCCTCTCCTCACCTCTCACTACATCTCCTCTCTCTCCCCTCTCCCCCTTTCAGGGGCGGCGGGGTAGCCTAGTGGTTAAATGTCCGCTCGTTACGCCGAAGACCCGGGCACAGAAAAACCTACAAAGCCCTAAAACTAACCTCAGGTGCAGCAACAGGTACTTCACAAGAAGCACATGAACATCAAACCCTGCTTAAACATCAAACGTCACTGAAACAGAAAACCCAACCCTACTACGACCAGCAGCTATCCCTAAAATTCGAACAGCCTGGGACACCTGGGCCTATATATACACTGATGGATCCAAGAATCCTATCAACATCAATTTCTAAAAATCCAAATTGAAATCATAACAATACCATAACAGACAATACAAAAACTCACAATAGGCATTTGTACCCAACTCACACACATCAATCCCAAAGAGGACAGGTCGGCTGAAATTACTGGGGGCACAAGGTGACCTCTTTAACGCTCAAAGTAACAACACCATCCTTTCTCCCATGTAGGTTGTATGCCATTATCAATATTAACATGCTATGTTTATCAAGCAAGGTGGGGCCCTGCCCTTCATGCTTTATTATAAATATGTATCACCAGAAAGAGTTAATATTTTATGTTGTGATTATATGAAATCATCAGACACTTTGTGCACATCCCTCTTGAAAAACAAAATGATGTTTGAACTGTTGTCCTGAAAATAACTGTTACAACTAGATATTGATATAGACATTACAATAAATATTAATACTACATTGCCAGTTATGTATACCATGAAATGTTATTCATGCAACAAACGCAAGGTCCATTTCTGCATAAGGGGAAACAGTGCTCTTACTTTATTTACAATCTATCAATCCGATATTTCTTTATTCTGATGGAGTAAAATTAATTATTTTACTGTTTTATGTAATATTTACCATTATTCCCTCAGTCAGGTCACACATCTTCCTCCCAGGGGTCATGTCCATCAGGCCAGGTCCTGACAACCAACACTCTGTCTCTACCAGGAAACACAGCCAGTCTCTCTAACTTCTGTTTTGTGTTTACAGGGTGTGAGTGGCGTCCCTCCCAGCAGTACATCATCCTCCCAGGGATCATGTCCATCAGGCCAGGTCCTGACAACCAACACTCTGTCTCTACCAGGAAACACAGCCAGTCTCTCTAACTACTGTATTGTGTTTACAGGGTGTGAGTGGCGTCCCTCCCAGCAGTGCATCTTCCTCCCAGGGATCATGTCCATCAGGCCAGGTCCTGACAACCAACGCTCTGTCTCTACCAGGAAACACAGCCAGTCTCTACAACAGACAGGTGTCTCTCACTGTCAGTGTGGAACACGACTCCTTTGACCCGCCCACGTACACAAAGTCTGTCACTTCAAATACAATACAGTTCCCGGGTGAGTACACAGCAACTCCAAGTGTACCTGATGTTGACTAATGGCCTGTATTTTAGCAGCAAGAAAAAGAAGTTTCACGTTGTCGAAAGCAAAAAGATGGAAGTTCACAATACTTTTCAAAATAATTATCTGTGTATGTCGCACTGAATCTATCTCATCCAGTGTGTTTAAAATATAACATAGTTGCCAGAAATAAGAAGTTACAAAGCAGGATCTATTTTACTTTTATGCCTGAACAAGGGAAACGTTGACCATGTCAATGGATAATAATTGGGAAATGATACACATACTTGGTTGGAGTTCAATGTTTGTAAGTATCAGTTGATCTGAAAGACAGATAATTTTGTCGGTATTAGCATTTACAATATATTAAACGGTCGATTTTAATACAAATAGCAATTATAGAAGTAGGAGATGAACCTGTTATATTTTCAGTGTAGACGTATTCTGCCAATGAGGATACGTGACCATTACAGTTAATTATTTCGTAATAACCTTGTAAAGGTAAAATAATGAGTGATGTCTCATAGGTCAAGTAAAGTGTTTTAGTTGTGTTGAATGGAGGTTGTCACCATATTGATAGAGTTCATTGTGGGTATTCCTGCTTTTGTTATTTAAACCATACCCTCCTGTATTTAACTCTCTCCAAAAAAGGACAACGGAACCCTCTTGCGCAGATTCCCTGTATTCATTATCCATACAGTTTCACTTGGGGAAACTGAGGCAACCCTCCTTGCACTTAGTTCTTAAAAAATATACACCACTTTTATGAGTTTATATTGTTCTACTGACAAGTGGGCCCAAACATTGTGAACCGGCAAACATGACCTCAAAGTATGTAATCTACTTGTGCCAAATATACATTTCGTACTCGTCGGCTTTGCGAAAGAAGTGCTTCCTGAGAAATAGTTTATTTGGGGGCATTTCACTCATCAGCAAAAGCATGTAGATTCCACACGCCTGGCAGACCAATCAAAGTTCAGGATTCCAACATGTCATGGTAGAAAAAAACATCATATGTATGCCAAATAAATGTGTTTATAGTCTAGTTGCTGTCAGGTTGTCAACAATATATTCATGAAGTAGTATGTGTGTCTTACCATTAGCAGATATTCTTAAAAACAACAAAAACCAGGTTGCAGTTTCCTATTCGTTCAATTCCATCTTTCAATTAAAGCTATGTTGTTACTATCTGCAATGACGGAAACGTATCGATTTGTTACCCGTACATGCAAGCATGATGACATTATTACGTTTAATATTGATTTAATAACATGGTCTTGAAATAGTAAATGTTTACATATGTAACGGACAGCTACTTGATGCTAAATGTCAATGTGTTCACGTCTTACAGTCCCAGTAAACTCTGTGACACTGACAAACATCAACTCTGATAATGAGGAGATAGGACAAGCAGCGGGTCAACCGCTGACCTTGACCTGTGTGACCTCAGCCAGCTTCCCGACTTCTTCTGTGACATGGGTGACCTTGCCATCAGGAACCACTCCTACAGTCAGCACAGAGACGACATCTGGTGTCCTGGTGAAGACAACAAGCTCCGTTACATTCACGGTCAGTAAGACTGACCAGGGGAGGAGCATTCACTGTCAGGCTGAAAACATCAACGGTCAGACATCCCCACAGTCTAACAGAGCAACACTGGAGGGTTGGTGTAAGTTGACATAGTCAAACATAGACATACTGGGGGTTTGGCGAACGTACACACAGTCTAACAGAACAACACTAGAGGTTTTGTGTAAGTAAACAAGTATCTATCAGGTTTGGTGCAAGGTTTGGTGGTCTGTCAGTGCTACACTACGGGTTTGTCGTCAGCAGATATGTATCTATTAGAGGATCAGACACGGTCAATCAGAGCAATGGTAGAGCCTTTGTGACAGTAGACTATGTATCATAACGTTTGTATAAGTACGTTTTGTCTTGCAGAGCCATATATTAATGTCTGTGGGCACAGGATAACAGCCCACTGAATGTTTAATGTAGTAGATATGTATGAGTTAGTGGTCAGATACAGTCTGATTTAGCAATGCTATAGCTTTCGTGAACACTGACATATGTCTGTCAGGGCTACGCTGTAATTAGGCAACACAGTAGTTATATATTTCAATATTCCGTTTTCCAGTTGGACCCGAAGAGGTTTACGTCACAATGCCAGACAACAGTGGGGTTTTCGTGAACAGAAACCTGACCTTGACCTGTACTACCACAGCTTATCCCAATCTGACCTTCATCTGGGACTACAGTGATGGAACACCTGTAGATGGCAACAGACAGTCTGTGTCAAGGTCCTCTACCAGGTGGTCCCAAACTCTCACCTTCAAGCCTAATAAAGACAAGACAGCTGTGAGATGTCAGGTCAGAAACACAAGAACATCGGCAACACAGACTGGTTCTGTGTCACTGGATGTCAAGTGTGAGTGTTCAAAGATGTTTTCCATTTATTAAGGGCATTCGGGACATTTTCAGTTTCTTTAAAAGTTACAAAACAGAACCTCTATGCACAACTCTTCCCCCCTGCAACGCCTGGACATCATGTTGTGACTCTGTTCACTATATGATGACAAACGAGGAAGGTTAACTGTGATACGTTCAGTCTTTACTGTTACATCTCTTACTTCATGCATTGTCATTTATAGTAACCAGGGCACGGGGGGCCCAGTCGTCTAAGACGTCACGATTCGCTGTGCAGAGTTGCATCCCTTGGGTACGCCAGAAACGTATGGTTGTTGGTTCGAATCCTGGTTCACCCCGATTATGTTTCTAGGTTTGTCAGCACCATACCCGTGCTCCCGGGGTTCCCTCCCACATTAAGCTGACACGCCGTGATATAACTGGACTACTGTAAAAAGCGGCGTTAAACCAAACTCACTCACTTATAGTAACCGTCTTGGTTGTTCCCGTTTCAGACCCCCCATCTGATGCTCCATCCATCACAAAGTTTGAGACTGTGATGTTTGAAGGAGACCCGGAGACAGTCAGGTGTTCGGTGACAGGAGGAAATCCTCTAGCTACGATTACGTGGTCCTGTATGGGCACTGGATCAGCATCAGTCAGTGACAGTGGTCAGACCAGGACATCTACTCTCTCCTTCACTGTCAGTAGGAGTCAGAACAGTCAGCAGTGTCAGTGTCTGGGGGCGTGGCAGTATGGAGGATACATATACAACCTCTCTGATGTCAGGACCTTTAATGTCAGTTGTGAGTATCTTTTAAAGTTTCTTGAGGGTGCGATAGGTGCAAAGGTTGATTCCCCCTCATTAACATATGTATGGAGTATGCAGCATGTCTGAAGTCATGAACATGCCATGAATTGACAGCATTGCCAAGAATCCCCCCAAAATAATGTTCATCACAACTGTTATATCACTCATTGTCTAACAATTTGTAAAAATGATCTAACACGAATCAACCACCAAAACGTAACGGTAGATTGATGGCTTTAAATCTTCGGGTGTGCGATCTCCTGTCCGATAGCTTGCTGAGGATAGAGTAAAAATATGTACAAGCTCCTTTACCGCAACCTATCTTCTCAGTGTTGTACAATAGCTAAATGTTACAGTTAGTAACAAAAGACCTCTGCAGAGATGCATTACTGTCGTTGTATGTGGGCATTGGAATGGAAAAAAGTTGTGTTGTCTTTGGAATCGATGGCATTTTAGAATCGATGTATGATGTATGATACCTATATCAAGCACTCTGTCTTCAGTAAATATGAAATCAATACATATTTCATAAGATACTTATTATATATTGCAGGTCCAACAAACCCACAACCACTCAATGCCGAATGTAACATGACAGGTGTAATAGCAGGAACCTCAATTGGAACCCTCTTTCTCACCCTGCTGATTGGAGGGCTAGTTATGACGGTCTTCTATAGGAAGAGGTTCAGGTTTGGAAACGTCTTGACAGGTATATTGTCAAATCTCATTTTTATTGTATAAAAGTATTACAGATAGAATCTGAAGTGGTGTGGCGATATGTACAGACGGGATATTAAGTAATGTACATGGAAAAACATGTGTGTTGGATAAAGTCATTCACTTTTCACATTCTGATTTGTAATGTGTGTATTACAGTGTACTATATATGAAGTCTCTATTTTTCAGGAACTACTTCACAAAAAAGGTAGACTTGACGTTTTTAAAAAAAATTCCTTTGATATAAGGTAAATGTCCTTTAAAAAAAGTAACAAAAAGCATGATATGAAGGTATCCCTTTCCATTTTTAATTGTCATAAACCGATTTCACTTACTGTTGTAGCACCAGAAATACTGAAGTTGAAGAAATGGAAAACATAGGATATTCATCTTTGGGTAGGTTGAAGTCAGCATTGCCGGTCAGATAGATTGTTCGGTCACGAACATGCCTGAGCCTACTCCGCATTGATACCGTTATTATATGTTCGTACTGATTTGTTACAGATCAAGTCAACAGTCCAACTCAGTACTCAAGCATGGATAAAGAGGCGTCAGAAAAACAACATTACACAGAGTTGAAGATTTATGAGAATACAAACGGTAGATGGATACTTTGACTTTCTATATACGCAGCAGTTGTCAGTCGTAAACTCAGTACCGCCCGATTACCGGCTTGCTATTTAACGTTGTGTTACGTTCTGACGAGTATTCAACATTTGAATCATATTTTCAGTCGAGCCCAAAGCAGAGACAAGTACCTACGAAGACATGACTGAAGCTCCTCCTGCATCTTACGAGTCTATCAGCGCATCTCCTTACCAGAATAGTGGGGCCATACCTTTAGGTATCCACAGCTTGTAATATCTATACACTTCAGAAGAATGTTAGCTCGAATACTAAAGTGTGTACAAGAAGCGATATACAGTTTCAAACAAATACCTATGTTTCCTCCCCTGTTCTGATGTAGATTTATTAACTCTGTATTATTGTTACTTTTGACACAGTCTGTACCTAAATAATGTGAAACAATGAAATAATATTCCGGACCTTCATTTTATGTGATACAGTTTCAGATCCTGACTATGGGAACAAGTAAACAAGCACTAGATGTGATGACATCACTGGATAGTAATGCACAGCGCTTGAACTGAAAATTGTGTTTACCATTCACATAGTGTAATTTTCATGTCAACATATGATTTATATAATATCTTTTACCTTTGTTATTTAATATGTTATATGCGTTGCATATACTAACACATAGCATAAGAGATTGGTATATGTTATAACACGAAGTTTGGATACCTCATAGTGTTCACCATTTTGTGAGGTTTTGATATAAGAGAGGAGCACATGCAATGAGATGTTTCTATGAATGTCTCAAATGGGAAAATATATTGACTCTATACGGCGTTCCTCTTTATAGTCTAAACTATTTGTAAAAGTAAGCACACTTAAGTTAACTTAGCAATAATGATAAGGTAGTTATGTATGGTCTATCATGTATGAAATCCTGTCAAGATAGGTTGGCTAGTAGCCTAGCCATCTGAACAGTTCATGACTATTTCTTCAATTTGATTATTGCACGAACATGTCTGAAAGACGCTTGTTATGATTTTGCAAACAAGCGCGCTACGAACACCAGTGACGTGAGCCTGACTCATCAGTACGGCAGTTGCAGCCAAGCTGTGTATTCGCAACAACAAATGAACTAAGTTCGGTCATTTCAACGTACATCGATCGTGTGGTTTCATCGAGTTAATATATTGGTGTACAACAAAAAGGTAACTAAAGGCAATGATATCATGACACAACTTTTCCATTAGCTTTGGTGTCCCCAAAAGGTCAGTGGTCTATATTTAGTTCACAGGGGTGTTCTGGTGTGCACTTCGGAAGTGATGCGGCTCTCTGTTTATATTTTGTACATGTTGAATTCATACGCAATTTGCTTTCATTGTAAGGACACACATACATTGCTTAATTGTGTAGATAATTAATCATCCTTTGTAAAAAGTAGGCTACACAACTCCTGTCTAATTCAAATTTATGTCCCTGGTAAAATAATGTTTCTAAAACTCGGGACAAGTAGCATATTCCATTTGAGACATAAACGGGACATAAGTTGTAAATTCCTTTAACACCCTATAGATATTAACGTTTAAACATTCCACTTTGCGACCACTGTTAAAGTTCACATGCAAGATCAGCTACAAGAAATCAAAATTAACATGTGCATTGCCTGTTTGCATCATATTTCCCTTGCTGGTTGATTGACTCACATTAGAAATAAACAATGATGCACACCAAACAAATTGTGTTTAGTTCATGTTTGTAAAATTAAAATATTCCATTTTTAATACACTGAGATACATTAAAGACTTACGTCCGTATTCAGACTATCACACGTTTTTTTTCTTTTCTAAATTATGCAATATTGATCATTTACTGCCGAATCGAAATAAATGGGTTATTCTGACACTGATTGCACCAGAAACGCATATTAACTACATCGCAGAAATCCACACTTATGGAACCATAATAGGACAATACATGCTATGTTAATATTTTGGCATAAAATGTGCTTGATAACATTTTACATTGTGAAATAGTTTAACATGTGTATCAAATGTATCAGAACAAATCTAATTTACTGTATATTGCCGCACAGACCCAGGATTCAAAATGTCGGAGAGATCACCCAATACCATAAGACATTAAGGTTTCCGAGAACTATAGCAAACCTCCACCCTAATTCAAAAACTTCCTCAGTTTGGTGAGCGAACGTCCAGGCCACTCACCCACCCGTACAAATCATTATTTTCGTTTACACAATGTTATAATACCACAGTGACAGTGAAATATTTTCAAGCCATCGGCTAATCTAAACATCTTGTCAATAGTATTCAATATGTGGGTTTCCGAATGGCCCCCTTATATATTTAGTCGTTTCAATAGCATGGCCACAGTTAAAGTGAACCTGTTGGTGCTATTGAACCGTGTTATGAACACCATAGAGTCGGCTGTATAGGCCCATTGTAAACCAAGGTCGGTAAATCCACAGACAAGACAATGTGGGGAATATTCAGTTTAGCAAAGGAACTAATAATACACAGGGTAGTGAATTGTCGTTTGCAATGGCATTCGTTGGGCTGCCTACTATTGCATTGTATGGTGGCTGATTATTGCCAACTCCAATACGGAACTACAGAGGCTGATAAGTCGCTCTTGGCTTGACTCCTGACTGATCGGTATTAGGTTATATATTTAGTATTTTACTTGTAGGCATCACATGCACAAATAAAATGAAGAAAGTGACTATTATTGTTGATCAGTGTTATGTTTGCCTATACTCGGCCCATCAACATGGGCAAGTTATACTGAGATGATTAATACATTTGCTCAGGTTACTCACTTGTTTCGGGACTAAAGACATATCATAACCCGTGTAGCAAAGCAGTGAAAAACATATGCAAAAGGATCTTGGCACAAATTCCTATCTGGAAATATGCATACATATTCACATTGATGGCAGTCTCTGTTCCGTAGTCTACAACAAGAGGGTGTTGTCGATTTTCCCATCATGAATTTCAACTTCAATTCAATTCCCAGTTGCTTGTACAATGTCCACAGTCACTTTTAACTCAACCAAGAAGCTTCACGGTAAAAAGCTTAACGTTGACATCCACACATTCGTACAGTTGAAATATCCCTGTTTATACAGGTGGTTACTCATACAAAACAACCCCCCCCCCCCCCCCCCCCCCCAACGATTAGATGCCATGTAAATATTTAATTTGTAGATGTAGATATGGGTGAACGTGATAATATCCATACAGTGTGTATAAATGCAATATAGTTGTCAGCTATATATGAACCACTTGCTTGCTCCTCTCTCCTCTCACAGTCGGAAAAGGGTTATATTATTCAAAAGCCTAATGTGAAAAGCATGTCCAGGTAGGTAGATATCATATGAGTAATGAGTCTCAGAAGGTTCCCGAGTGAGTGACTGAGTGAGGGTTTACGCCAATTTTAGCAATATTCCAGCTCTATCAGGGCGGGGGACATCAGCAATGGGTTTCACACGTTGTACCAATGGTGGGAATCGAATCAGGGCCCTCGGCGTGACGAGAGAACGCTCAAATACTAGGCTACCCCACCGCCCAAGAAGGTTCCTGGGTAGGTAATCTGGAGGAATTACTACATGACATTGATAGCATGGTTAATGAATGGTGATGAATAGATGAATTGTTATTTTGTGTTTTGTATAACATAGCTCTCAGCAATATTCCAGCGATATGATGAAGGTCTGTAAAGAATCGAATCTGGACACGATAAAAACTAATGTCTGACATTGTCATAACCAGAAATCAAATAATGAGTGGATACTTAACTCCACGCCAAAGAACCCTCAAAGCGCATTCAAACACAAATACAAATCTCAAAGACGCTTACAAAAAAGATATGTCTTGACTTGAGGTTTGAATGTTGCAAGTGTTTTCACATTCTTGAGACAGTCTGTAAGTTCATTTCATTTCATGGCAGCAACAGATCGAAACGATGATTTAAGACTGAATCTTGTGACATCAGCCAGTTACTTTGAGCTTGATCTGAGACACCGCCTGTGTTGATATTGGGACACCAGCTCACACTTGTATAGTGTTGTTCTATGTTTTCACTGGAACGGCAATAGCAATAGTCTGTACTCAATTCATGCTTGCACAGGTAGCCAGTAAATAGAATTAGGATATATTTGAGCTTTCAAATATTAATGCCTTAGAAACAATATGGGCCGTCTTAGTTTGAATTCTTCCTCAGGTTTGTGAAGTTGTTGTGTGTTGAGAGAGGATAAATGATCTTAAATGCTGTTGTGTAAGGAGCCAAGACAAGGCGAAATTGGAGATTAAAAAAAAAAGAAAAAGAAAACGATGTTACCATCTCGGGTATTTGTTCACAATTTTGGCATTCAGGCAGCCGGAAACCTAATGGTATTTGTGATGACAGGAACAGGAACATCACAAAACTGCATTATTCCATTTGGCTGGAATCGGATAATTTACATCCCCTGGGAGTAATGAGATTTGGCTTCCTTGAAAACTGTCTTCTACACTAAAACATCTGTCTATGGATCTCTGATCCCGATTTTCTCCCTGCTTTTCGACTCATTTGTGTTGTTGTTGTTATATCCGGATAATACCACGAAGCATGTGGGTTGACATGTATGTGTCGTGATGTTCTAAGCCCTCTGTGTTGAGTTGTACAAGGTTTGATGTAGCATCTTGTAGCACTTTAAATTCTAAAATATCAGCTCTAAAGTCATCGAGAGATATGCTCTTCATATTGCGACATGTTACTGTTTTCTTGATTGGTGGTGGCCGTTCCAAATTAAGTGACTCACTCACTCACTCACTCACTCACTCACTCACTCACTCACTCACTCACTCACTCTCGTATGTAACACTAAACCTGTCTTCATATGCCACAGATCAGCTATATTTAGCCACTACTGAACCAGTTTGAAGCGACTGGTATACATATAAACCTGACCTTGTATATTACTTCCTGTTGAGCTAAACGGTCACACAAGACGAGTCTAGCAACGATTAGTGTCTGACAACTTTAAGTCTCAGCAGGTATGTACTCTACTATATTTCTAATCTTACCACATGACATCTTATGTGTCTAAGTTTACAGGTATCACCATGTGTGAACGCTTCTTCTGCATGACATAATGTATAGTAATGAGCCACAACATCTCGGTATACTCGCGCTCTTTGACGCGGCCAATATGCGTACATAATAACGTGCATATCTATACTACTCCCAATCCACAACCTAATACTTACTCAAAGCGCTACTTTATTGTCCCTAAAAGATCAGTTTAAAATCTGTTTTCATTATCAACTCCCTGGGGTGTATACAACCCAAGCTGCCTCTGAGGCGCTAGAAGGATAAGGGTCAAATTACCATCTCAGCCTACCGGGTACACATTCATTGTTGGAGGAACAGAGGCATGTTTCGAACAAAGTAACATGCTACATGTGTTTTGGTGAAGGGCGGGACCAAAGACCTTGACATTCTCAAGAATTCAGCTGCCGAACGCAGCCTCTAACTATGCTCTGCGCGTTGCTGGCCACGTGCCAGCACTATATGTGTCGCCTATGTATGAGTTCTTTGTACGTGTATCTTACAACTTGCAGAACTTGGGGCCTTAGGCCCTCACAAGGTAGTCACGTGTATCTGCTTAAACAAGTGAGTGAGTGAGTTATGGTTGATAGTCACATCGGCATTATTCCAGCCATATCGTGACTAAATCAAGTTTTATATTAATGAAACACAAAACTGAAATATAAAACCTGTCGACAAAGGACAGTAAAATAACTACATTATCACAGACGTATATTTAAAACTAGCATGTCATTATAAAATTTGAACTATTCATAACAATAAAACAAAAATGGGCTATAGATCACCAACAACCAAAGGTAGGTCACAATACTTGATACCATGGGGACCTACGGTACGTCTGCTACCTGCATTGTACTCTAGCAGGATTTACACTATCCCTCTGGCTGCTGGCGATTGTTAGAAAGTTAAGCCAACAATTAAAAATTACAACGATACCATGATTAAAACCATGGTAGAAATATACGTACTTTGAATGATATGGCCATAAGTGGAACTGAATACACATATTTTGTTAATGTCTGTATCCACGACACAAAGTGAATAATTAACTCCATGCCTGGTGTGTATACGTAATGCTTACGTTCGCAGTATGTGACACCCCATTTCTTTACGTTTTTTATTGCTTAAATGGTTTAGTTGTCAACACGAAAATGTAATTTCCAATTATGATCAACACAATTATGATCAACACATTCATTCATTTCATGTACGTACAGGAAAATCGAGATACAAATATGAGGAAAGAATGTATGCAGAACTTTTGAATATGATAACATTCAGTTTTTACTATTACCAACGGACGATAGTTATACAACCTTGGGTATTGTGATTTCATTTTAAATATTAATCTGAGGCGTGAATATATTGTCCCCATTTTATCAATATCGTACCAATCTTGTTTACATGTTAGGAAAACTACATATGACATGTTTATCTTTAAGAGCCATTGTGTGAAATGATTTGCTTCACATACAAAAGTCATACTTGCATTCATAACTGAGTTTAGGTTGACCACCAAATGGTTTTAACCTTCATGACATTTGTAAATGTCATTTTATTGACATTCCACGGATAGCATTCCACTGTGCCCAAGACGTTCGTGACTGTAACTGCAATCCATTTTACAAACACGCACCATTAAAGACATATTTGGACATTGTCCAGTACAACAGGGAAGTAAACTATTTATTAGCTAAGCAACTGTTCCATAG